CCGGGCTCCCTCTCGTTGTGTTAATAGTGAGAGGAATCGTAATCGGCCTAGTCAAGATGGGCTTTGAATGAAGCCGTGGAGGCGGAATATTTATGAAGCGTGCCGGCTGGAGCGATGCCGCGGTGGGTACGCTATCCTCGTCCCACAATCGCTCGGGCTTCTCTATTGCTTTCGACCCGCCCCCGACCGAAACTTGATTTCTCAAACTTTGGACTTTTGCGTACAATGCAGTCAACAAACTTCAAGAGCGAAGCTGACTCTCTCCCAAATGAGTCTCACCACAAAAGAGTGAATACTCCGAATGACTTGTGCGCTCTCTTGGCTCGTGGAGCCTTCTCCCTCCACGGACAAGCGGACCAACGGATGGAAGGAGAGAACGTGAAGCGCGAGAGCGTGGCACGGAAATTTCGGTGTGAAGACACGATTGCCTTCTTCCGGAACATAGGAGAAGTTCGGAAAAAGAGCAGGAGGGGGAAGTCGGAGAGTATCGGAGCAGAGTTTGAGAGGAAGGACGAATGCAAGAAGATTTCCCTCGGGAATAGCGTGGCCTCTCTCATCAGTAAACATTGATCCTTACTTTATCTGATCGCCTCTTTCTCCTGCCTCTTGTGTCACCTATCGTCGGATCGAAAACGGAGTCAGAAAGTCGAACAAACTTGACTCTTCCCGGAATGGGATGTACATCCGAAGATTGAGGCATTTTCTGTTCTGCTCGTGCGGCAGAACTGAAAATGATTGCCTACGTATCTAGCTCGCAAACTCGATGGCGATTCCCGTGTCTCCCGTGACGACATTCGGTGAAGTTTCCCAATGATACCGCCGAAACCCTCACGTCAAACACGCAACCATCGATGGCGATCCCATCGCGGCGCATCCGGACGAGGCTCCCGGAGCGTCTGAAGTCGCTACGGCTGCTGCATCTCCGCTCCTGGAATCATTAGGCTCGCCTGTTGCGGTGATGGCGTATGATTCCCAGAGAATGGTCGACGCAGCTGTTCGCACAGTGTTCCAAAGATTCCAGGCGGTGTACCAAACGGCCGAGGGATGGAAAAATAAGAAGGCGACTCGATCATAAATGCGAATATCAAAAGACCGGGCATTCCGCATCGCGGGCACAGACCTCGAGAAACAAACGGCGGGAAACTTGCGATTTCGGACTCTCGCGACGCTGGGAATCACTCTCACGATCCACGCGAAGAACCGCTGACTCGTCGAGAATAAGGATGTCCCACAGGGCAGACAGTGGATTCGCTCCGAGTTTTCGACGTAAAAAAGAGCTGCTGACGAAATTGGGAAAGCTAGATGTACGAATTGGAAAAATTAGCAAATTCAGATCTCGTTCTGCTGCTGTGGATATCCGAGACGGCGCGCCGCGGCCCAGCTCCTCGTCCGAGTTTCTTCGTTTTCTCTCTCTCTCGTCTCGACCCGGTGATTCCAGTCGATGCTCGGGAGTTTAACAAAACACGATCGGAATGAGAGAGTCCTTCCTATTTGGAAGTTCGTCGAGCCGGGCAGAGAATAATTTCTTTCGACTTTCGATTCCGTGGGGCTCCGAGAGCCGGAATTACTCGGAGATGGAGCGATGGGGAGAGATGGCAGCAATAACCAGGACCAAACTATCCGAATTTTCGAAGCGAGCCCGTTCCATGCGAATTCGATTCTCCTCTCGCTGGCCCCGAGGGTCTGAGCGAATATCGGACGGGAGGCAGTACTGCTTACCGAGGGATTCGTTTCTGCCTCCAAAGAGTCGATGTCATCCCTCGATTCTCACGGAACTCCCGCGATGGGGACCTGCGAGATTCTGGCGGAACTCCCGTCAGGGGAAGTATCTTCTCTGGTTTCTTCTCCTCCGATGACCGTAACTGGATTCTGTCGAGGTGACAGCGCGTCCCACCGCGGAAATCCCTGCCGTGAACTTCTTCCGGCGGGCGAGCAAGTCTCTCCTTGCGAGTTCTTCGCACGATGGGTGTGTGTTTGGAACACACTCGAAGACACTCGGGTTTTTATTCGCGTCCGCAAACAGAACAGCTAAATTGATGATGGCAGGAAGAAGCTCTGTTGTTGCGAATAAGCGGAGCGAACAACCCGCTGGAGCCGCCAAGATGGCGCGAGGGAAAAGCTGGTCGCAACTAAGTCAGTAATTAACGGAATAACAACTTTGGTTCATCGACCCAGTGGCTGGTCGTGTTTTCCGCGCCTGTATCGCGGGTTCCCTCCAATTCCGCCACTCTATAGGCCGCCTCTGTGGCGATGTAATACGACGCCCATGTATCCGTGGTGGTGTCTGAGCTTGCGGAAAGCTGAGGAGTAGGATCGATCGCGGGAGAGATCCGCGGACAGCGGATCGGGGATGTCTGGAAATGGAAATCCAGAAAAAGCGGAGGGGGAGGGGGCTATACACCGCGTATGCTGTGATATCGAGTATCGAGTCGGCCCAGGCCGCCACAGGAGTCATTGATCGTTTGTTAGGAACCTCACGGAAATGTATCGGTTGCTGGGTGACCCCGTGAACGGATGCCTTTCGCGCTGCATTAGTCGAAAGTAATTGAAACCAACGATGATAGCGCGCGAGTTCCCGAATTCCACGTACGCGGCAAAGTGAAAAGTCCACTCCGCGATCCGGTTCAGAGCTATCAATTCCCCGCGCGGTGATAGACGGCGCCAACCCGAGTCCCCTCGCCGTTGCGAATGCGCATTCAAAGCGATGAGGCACCCGAGATGTGCTGTATCAACTTCAAAGGTGACTTTGGAAATCGAACTCCCTCCTCACCTGTATCCCCAGAGCACATCTGACGGTTTCGCTTCTGGAGTCAAAGTTCTCCTGAAGACCTGGTTCGAATGACCTACGCGCCATCTTCATCTTCCGGTATCAGATCCCGATGGGGCATGCTCCGATAATCTCTCTTCCCCAAAAACTGAATTTGAGCGGTAGAAGTGGGTACAGGGCTCGGAGCTCTTCACGCTCACCGCACGCTCCTAACGCTGCGGATCCCACTGGATTTCCATGATATAGAACAGGGCTCATAGGCCAGCCGAGCAGACTTCGACAAACTCCGAATTTATCTTCATGGAGAAACGAACGCCCAGAGCTCGCTTCCTCCAGGAAAACCGAGATATACTCAAAGTAAATTCCCTGGTCGCCCGCTCTGTCGGTCAGACGTAAGTTCGGTGGGTCGGTCGGTCGGCTGGTCGTTCGTTGGCACGCTCGCTGCTCTTCTGCCTGCCGAGGTGGACATGAACTCTCAAGAGGAGGGTATGTTTTGAATTCCTATGACTCGCAATGCGTTACTTCAGAGGTCTCTGGAGCTCACTAACTCTGGAGTAGAACAAACCCTTCGCAAATTCGTTCAGTCCGTACCTTATCTGAGCCACAGCGACTTCCGATACTCGTCGAAGGCCCTCAAGGCGAGGTTCACTGGCAAACATTTCATTGGGGTAAATTATTATCCGTGCGAATCTCTGAATATATATACACGTACTTACATACGAGGCGGGAAATGAACGAGAGGTCGCATGGCGAGCGTCGGAAATCCATATGCTAATGAGGATCGCATTCGTACCGGAGCCGCTGTGTCTCATATGGGTTTCCCGGGGATGACGTACCGGAGAAGAAGACGTGAGGAAAATTACGGGAGCTCCGAAACTATATCTGTCGCGCGACCTTCAGATACGGATCCCGTCTTCCCTTGGGAGACCCTTCGCTGGAGAGAAATGAGAGGGGGTACCGGTGGAATCCCGGTCGGCTCTTTGACAATTCACTATTCCAGTCGTTAGTCGTTAATCAGGTCCAAGGAGGGAGTACCGTTAGAAGATCCCTTACCTCAATATTCCTTCGTCTCGAATTGAACAACAGAGATTCCGTGACCGCTATCCATTTCCATACTCCCTCCATTTTAGGGGCCTCCTGGAGAATGTTGTTGCCGGCATATTTTGTGTTCATTGCTAGGAAAAAAATCAGACTAGGTTATGTCAGGGACATCACCGTTGTCTGAGTGAAAACGTCTTCAGGTGATTGGTCTTCATTAGTTTCCTTCAATGTCGGTCAGAAACGTGTCCAGCCTCGACTGATTCGTTTTCAACGAAGAAATGCTTGAAACTCATAGTACATAGCACGCTGCCACGCCAGCCCGTAAGAAACATCAGGGAAAGTTTCATGATCAAAGGAGGTAGAACTAACCACGGAATTCATCCCAGGCGTAATACTCGCTGTTCCTGAGAGATCCATGTCCAGACACTCGGCTCGGTAGCTCCCTTGTCGGAGAATTGCCTGTTTTGGCCGAATCCTCAGGCATACTTCATTATTCAACCGACTAAATGTTTCCACCATGAACCAAAGACAAACTCACGTCAAAAAAAACACTCTGCCCGAGAGCCGTCCCTGATCACAAAAAGTCTAGAGATTCCGTCTCATTAGAGCGGTCCGACTACTATCCAACGAATGTCCCGGACGACTATGCTTAATCATCGCGGAGTCCGTCCCAGGGAAGCTCGTTCTCCGACCGAGGGCTGCATCTCCCGCAATCGGTAAGGATTGGCGAAGCAGGGATTCATTTACGCAGCTTGTGGACGTGCACAGCCGGCATGTTTCGATAACAATATTCGGCTGCGATTCGTCTCGATAAGGACAGGTCCTCCAAGAACATAGTGGGCAATTCGTGATTGGACGCATACGCAGCCCTCGGGGGAATGTTCCGCCGCTTATCCAGCTCTATCTAAGTAAGGCACCTTATTCCTCGCCTAAGTCCGCGCCCTCTTCCGCCCTCCGCTCGCCCGACTCCACTCCCTCCGCACATGCTTCTGCTCGGCGAAGATAGACAGGTCCCTTCAACGACGAGCTTGAGCGACTTCGGCTCAATGACTTGACGTCGAATCAGAATCCTGGATCACATCGAGGGTTTTCAAGAGAACGCCGGAGGTCAGAGAAGGGTGTCTGTGGCTGATGTCCCGCCTCAATTATTCGAGCTATCCATAATCGTTCCAGGTGGTTTGGCGACGGACTAATGGTGAACAAGGCCGATGAGGAAGTTGATCTAGAGAACGAGACCCTACCGCTCCAGCTGCGAGCAACCATGTCTTCCCACTACACGGCACCCGGCCAGAGCACGTTGACGAAACCTCTACCGCCGTTACCTTCGATCGCCTCGCTCCCTCGCCATCCTCACGGCGCATCTTCTAAACCTCCATCCGTTTATCAGGACAGTCCATTGGGTAAGTTTCTCTGCTCTCTGCTTGTTCAGATCGGGAAGGGAGGAGGAGGGGGCGTTGGCATGGCGAAGGGAGCGTTTCCCCGCGTATCTAACTGAGTGAGAGGTCATGGCCGCTCGGTAGTCCGCCGCGGAATGTCTGGAAGCCGGTACGTTGCGGCCGAACGAAGGGCAGGGAAAGGAGGCCTCGCCAAGGTAGGCGGGTCGGGAGAGGGGTCGTGCACCCCAATTCTACGGATTTCTGTACGCACGGCCAACGAGCGGGAAGCAACGCCCAGAGTGCTCGAGAGGCAGCAGATTTCGGAGAGCCCGAGAAGGGTTTCATTGAAGACGAGAAAGAGGGAATCGCGGCTCGGTGCCTGCCGCCCCCGATTCTACGGTCATCCGAGCCGGCGTCAGACGGAACGTTGCCTAATGGTGGCGAGGCCTTGCAGTCTCGCAGCTATCTCGCTGTACCGTTCTCTCGATCGCTCTCACTTACTCGACCCAGTAAGACAAATAAGAAAGAGGGCTAGAGACAGAGAGAGCCTCTGGAAGCGGGCAGCTCCTCCCCAGCATCGCAGCGGCGGCGGCGGCGGCGGAACAGCAGCCGCCACCCCCGCACGAAAACGAACCAACTCAATTCTCTTGATGAGCTTTCTTATAACCTCAGCTGGTCACAGTTGGCCGACTGACTCGCTGCGTGCCTGCGCGTTTGTCTGCCCGGCCGGTAGCTCTCTCTCTCGCGCTCTCGGTTTCACTTGGACTCCCTCAATGGTTCCTTCGCAAAGCCCCGTTTTCATAGGAGACCTGCCCACCGAGTGACCGTCTGACCTACCGGCTGACTGAGAAGGTTTCTCGGCGTACAGTGAGCAGTCCTTACGCGGCTTCGGCGGTAGTAAGGGAGCGGCGGCCGGGTGGTCGGTCGGCAAGCGTTATTTATAACGCTTATTAATTCATAGCAACCGACTTGCCTTCCAACTGCGGGGGTTTCGCTTGCTCGCCGATATGATATACGCTCCCCATATTACGACGCTCCCCACTTTTCCCCCGTCTACGCTCGCTCGGTCTCTACGCTTCGACGGCGCGGCGCCCCGTTCGGCTCCCCTCGCTTGTTCCTGTGCTCCCCTGTGGTCCCTCAGAATCTCCCTCCGCCGCTCGTCCCCCATTCCAATGAGGTTCGTGTATTTCCTCCGAACCCCATCGGTTCTCACTCGGCTGGCGCGCTGCATGCGACCAAGATTTTCCTCAGACCGACGTTTCCTTCGATTCTCCCCCGGGAGACTTTGCCACGAGGCGGGTCGACTTACCTTCTGATCCTTCACGGATCTCAATTTTAGTCTCTTACCACCCCTTCCGCCATTTTGTTCGCTCTTTCTCGCTCCGAGAAACCCTGAACGGTGGAATGGCCGTCGCGCTGTACGTGATCGCTCGAGCCCGCCGAATGGAGCAAGGAATGAACGGAAGCGCGTATGGCTAGTTTGCTCGAGTGCGGGGGTATTTGGATCGGAGTCGGTTGACGACGAGGAGGAGAAGCCCAAGTTTGAGACAGAGAAACGGGGAGGCAAGTTGACAGCTGATTTTTCAAAGCCAATAAATGAATCAACCATTCATCAGTCATTTCTCGCTGTTCCTTTTCGAAACGAGCAATGACTCCCGTTCTTCGGTTAGAGGGTTTCCCCTCCCATCTGTTCGACGGAGCGTCAACGCATTCCCTTCGGAAATTCCATCTACTGCGCCAACAAGGCGGGATAAAGGCTCGGGTGTGGCCTGCCACATCGAGATCGTGGGGAAGCGAAGCAAAAGGTGGCTCCGGTGCAAGAGACGCTCCCCACGAGTTCCGAAACTACGCCGGGTCTCTCCGCAGGGAGAGATGGCTCCGCTTTTTCACTTTCATCGTTTAATCAGATCGGTAGCGCTTCTCTACTCTGGTAGTACAGACTGACACATTAATTGCTCTACTTAGAGTCATGGAACTCCATCAGCTGCCACCGTACAGCATCTTCATAGTTGGGAATGAATGCTCCCATTACCGCCCTGACCCAATGCTCCCTTGAGGTCCATCCAAGTTCCTGTCGAGGAAGTTCCTATCCATCCCGGTTCGGAGGCCCTCTGCGTGGCTGAGTTCCTCCGACGATACTCAGTCCCACGGATCTGGAGGCAATATGGAGGGGTGTTTTGCGATCATACGCGAGTCGACTCTGCGCCCAAAACTCTACAGGCATCAGATCACGGTTTCGAGATTGCTCGGCTGACTCCGGTCCGGGATGGAGCTCCGAGGACGATCCCTTCCGGCTCGATCAGAAGGAGAAGCAATCGACAAGAAAGGCTTTTTCTTTGACTTCGGTCATCAGTCATCATGGTGATGACAGCGAACTGATCAAGATGAATACTGTGACGTAAATCCCTCTGTGGAAGGATCGGGAACCGGTTCCAGTACGGCTGTGATACACTCGACCGAACAAGTCGTTCAGTATCACATGAATCAAGCACGGCACTTGAGGCATCGCGAGACTGGCGACGTTCCTTTGTCTGGCTGGAGACAACATGAGTGATGATGATCATCATGAGATGAAATATCGCTTCCGAACGTCGATCGTGTATCTCTGTATCTCAACCTGTTGTAGTCCATACGCTGTCACATCCGCGTACGGTTCCGAATCTCCGAGAGCCCTTCGTTGTGAGGCGGACGTGTTTCACCGAAAGTCAAAAAAATTTGAGTGTCACCTCTTCGGAGGTCGATGAGGAAAATCGTTCTGTTTGACTCGGAATCTAGGAGCTCGGAAGTTCAGGTCGAGAACGTTTGAAGTCGTTCCGATGGACGGATCGTGCTAGTCGAAAAGTCGAGTGACAGGAGGTCGCGTTCTCTTACCCGGCGACGGGATAGACGGAGAGCTTTGACGAGGAAGCGTGCCGACGCAAACTATCAACAGCGCATCATTCATGTCTACCGAGGCAAGCAGGGCAGAGATCGCCCACAACCACATTCGCGATGAGGAAGACCATGAGATGCGAGGGGGATCTACCTGGCGATGATAAGGAGCCAAGAGAATCAGAAAGATAGAGGAGGAATCTGCGAGGACAGAGGGAGCGTAGAAAGGCAGGAGATTAGACGAAGCCAAGACGCAGAACACTCTGGTCGCCCGGCCAGTCATCTCTGACGTTGACATCTATTGAGCCCAATCCCGTTATTGGAGACTGCGCCTTCCCATGCTCCTCTGCTCGGAAGCCCTCTTCCCCGTCTTTCGACGCCAATCGGCCTTCTCCTGCGACCGAGACCCTAGGGTCCAAGCCCCGAGCCGGCATTCTTTCTTCTCATCTACTTCTCGGGCTCCCTCCACGCAGATAGGGCTCAGAGCATGCCATCATCGCACACTCATAACGTCCGCCATAGTCTTCCGTTTTTCCTCAAAGCAGTCCGCTCTTTTGTCCTTGCGGCCATCCAATAGGTCAGCCGCGTTGCAGAGATTCGGCTCATTTTCCTTGCGCTTCCCCGCATGCGCGCTCGCTCAGTGTTCCGCCAAGAAATAGCTGAGCACAAGCTACTCGGGCCACTGTATGGTCGGACTCTCTATAATCTCTGATTGCGTTCTTGGTCGTTCTCGATTCGCGCGATGACGCAATCGTATCCAGCTCGAATCGCGACATCGACCAATGTCCTACACCGAAGAGAGAGAGAGAGCGAAAAAGAGAGAGACATTCGATGGAGTCTCTCCTGGGAAGACGTCCTCTCTCCCCCTGCATATGTTTTCTCCGAGGAAGAGCTGCACGGCAGCACGAGAAAAGAAAAACATGAGAGGGAACGAATAGAACGTCAACGGTCCGTTCCTTCGTCTGCGGCCTGGTCGTTAGCCTTCGCCGAGTCAACGTCCATCTTGGTCAATGCTTTACTCTGGCTCGCCGCTCCGCACCGTTGTTGCTAATGTCTCACCGACGCAAGAAAGCAAGCGGTGCCGCACCTGACCCGGGTCGTATATAAATACATACATATAACGCTTTTTCCCTCCTGTCAGGCCTCCCTCGCAGACTGAAGCCGCAGCTTCCATCCGACCAGCCAGGCTGAGAGAGGTTGACGTTTCCCGATTCTCATCGTATCCTTGTGCTCCTAGAAAGCAAGCGAGCGTCGGTCTATTAATACCTCGTGGGTTCGACGACAGGGCTAGCCAGTTGCTTGCCTGGCTGTCTCTTCGATGCTTGGCCTTGCACCCTCTCACCTGGTTATCGCACAAGCAGCAATAGCGGTCGCAGGGGGGGGGGCTTCTGACGGCAGCAGTCGGCCCCATTAAGCAGCTTGCCAGGAGCTTTATAGGCAGTAAACATGTCGCAACTGAAAGACTCGCTCGCTCTATCTATCGGAACAATGTCCACCATTTAATGAGACTCGAGCTTTTCCTTCGGAAGCGTTCGAGTTTCTCATTGATCCGGGAGGGAGATCCGGAGGAGAATGGAGACGGAGCAGTGAGCCCCGGAGATTTTTTTCCCATCAATTTTTTGCGCGAGGCTCAAGTTCATTGATAGCCCATCCAAGAAATACTCTTCTGTGCTCGACAATATTGTAAAAGCCCTTGATCGGATCACCAGATAAACGAGTAGGTCCATTCTGCGCCCCAATCTGCAGTATCCGACTTGTCGTTCCCGGCTTGAGTAGTACGAATGAATCTGCAGCGGTTTTCGCTGCCTGGGATACGTGCGTCGGTCCCGGCATCGCTGAAGTCCATTCTTTGGACAACACACATACAATCATGATCGAGGCTTCACTTATTTTTTCGATCTCGCCTGCTTTCCCGGAGCTGCTGCTGCTGTTGATGGAGGAGCCTCTGCAGTCGATGGCGACATTGTTGCCATCAGAGGATCCAACCCGCACTCAGATCACTTGAAGTTGCTGAAGAAGCTCCCATCGAGGGAGGCTTATGAAGCTTTCCCCCTTCACAGCCTTCGCCGCCGCCACCACCACTACCACGACCACCACCGCCCGGCCCAGCTTGCTCGCCCGCCCGCTCGCAAGCTACCGTTATGCTGGGTAGGATCCATTGCCGCTTTCCCAAGGGTGTCCGGATCACTGGCACCAGCAATCCGGCTCGCTCAGCCCCCGCAGCGGAGGAGCAACATGCGAAAGTTGTCTTGGCTAAGCAGCTTCTAAATAAAGCCACTTAAATGACTTAAAATTCATGGCCCCCGGGAGGAAAGTGCACGCCAGCGAGTCGGCTCCCCAGCAACCCGATCGAACATCCAGCCTCACCAGTCCGTCCGCAATCCACCCTTCAGCTCGCTTGCGAAGGCTGCTCTCGCTTGAACGGAGAGCCATCCCGACGGGACTGTCCCAGCAAGTTGGCGGGCGACAAGGCCGGGCCTGAGCGCGGTATCGATCCTCTGCTGTTTGCATCCGGAAATGACGCTCGGTAAGCGTCCCAACCTTTGGAATCTCGATTTTACGAGAACAGCACGCGAAGGCCTCGCGTGAGCTCCTAAGGGCAGTGAATCACCGCTTTTCGAAGGCCAGTCGAGTATCGCCAGCAGAGCACGATCCAAACACTGGGTCGCGAAGCCGTGCCCAGAGAACTGGATGAGCTTTTTGAGGAACATGGGAGCTATGCCTAGAAAAATGACAGGAAACGGACACCAGCGCAGGTCTTTCTGACGTTCGTGTCGCCAATCGAGGACCATCGCGCTGTCCGCTCACGTCGGCCACATAAAGAATATGATCTCCGTCCCCGCTGCTCCTACCGTTTGGCTTCGCCCAGGGGGGGACTCCATTACTTGGAACGAAGAAAAAGCAGCACCAGAAGACATCGGATAGCTCTTAGTCGTAGAGGAATTCTCGAGGTCTAGCGGACGAGTTCATCACAAGAACCCTCAGCTTGCGAAGGGAAATAGCCTCAAGTGTCCCGGACGCCCCTTTTAGCATTCACATTGTTCTCATATGCGTATACCTACATACCTATCCGCCCGGTCGTTCGTCGATGGCGTATTGACGTCGTAGCTCCCATATCGCGTCAAGATCCAATCAGGTATTGATCAATTCGAGTTTTTCCCGCTTGGGAAGTCCCGATCGGGCGATTCACCCCGCTCGCGCAGTGCGCGGAGGCTTCGCTAAAAGTGACAGGTTTCTTTTTTCGTTCTCCGTTGTCGCTGACAAAGTCGGAGCCTTTTTCCTCCCAAGTCTCCTTCGTTTCGTGACGCTTTATCCGTAATACTTTTTCCTATACGGGGCTCGTTGCTTAATTTAGGAACGTCGGAACAGAGAACGGGACGAGAAAGGAAGTGGAGGAGGGGCAGGAAAGCAGCTCGTTCAGGAGAAGTCTGCGAATGGCTTCGTGCAAAAGAAGACGACGAGGTTTTTCGGGGCTGTCCGCGATGCTACCGCCGCTTGCGCTGGTGCTGGCATAAAGCCAAGATGCATTAGCAGTGAACGTATCGATCGGAAAAAAACGTCGTCGCTGTGTCGTAGTGGAGGCTCGTACGCGGCGGCGCGTTAAAGCCCACCAGCGAGTCTGGCCGTGAGGATGGCGAATCAACGAACCAGGAAGCGGTGCTGTTGTTGGTAGAATGCTGCCCGCTGGAAGGGTGTCGCGGCTGCTGGCTCACTGGGTGGAAGATTTGATTTCTTCCGGAGTCAAAAGAGCGTAGGAGAGGATCGCGTCTCTCCTCTCCACAGAAGTCTCGGTGAGCGGCGCTCTCGATGTCGCTTAATGCTCTGGGATATTAGTTCGTCAGCCGTCGCGTTCGATCGCTCTACACCGTTTCCCGCCACTCCTCTAAACAGGAAGTCTGTGATTAAAGTTTTACTCCGACCCCCACCATCCGAGGAGGAAAAAAAAGGGGAAAGAAGCGTCGAAAGGACGCGAACAGGAAGAACGCGAGATACGCGGTCAGACGCGGTGGTTACTTCCGCTCATCGGCTTGCGAGTATCTGATGCCGTCAATACGGTGTTCAACAGCGGTGTTTCGTTCATTCGTTCTCTCGTACGGCAGGAGCCACCGAAGCACGGGCCGAGCAGAGAAGAAATCTCAAGAAGTTTTGCAGCTGATGGATAGCCCTGTGGGTTTGAGGGTGGGCTGCGCAACGTGCGGGGACGGCAGACAAAACGCCCCGCGGAGGGAACAGCGCGGGAGGAGGCAGCTCTAGAAACGGCAGCGGAAAGAGCTCCGCAGGCAGACAGGCAGCTGGATGTCTGGCCGGCCGGTCGGTCGCTCGGTCGGACGGCAACCGGGTGAGCTAGGTGGATGGCTGGCTGGCTGACTCGGAAAGAGAGAAAGACGGAAAAAAACGATACGATTCCTTCGATCTGTTCCGTTTCGAACGTCGAGCAGCTGACGGCAACGGCGGCCATAACGGGAGGAGCTTTTCTTCTCCCGCTTTCGATTCTAGGCGGCTCTGTTCTCGTGGAGGTCCGCACCCTTCCCGTCCCTCTCTTTGAGAGGCCATTTATTAGCAACCACGCTCTTCCGACGGGGAACTGCGGCGGCAAGTCCGTCTCAGAGAACTCTCAAACGGACGGACAACGAACATTTGAAAGCTCGTCAGAAAATTCCTTGTGAAGTACTCCGAAGCGGGATTTGACCCAGAATACGAGACACCGTGATGCGACAGCCTCTCCTTCTCGTCACTGTGCCCTCAGGACGCATTATTTAGGCGGGATTTTTTTTTTTTTCGGAATCCTTTCATTAGGATTCTCAATTCACCGAATTATCATACTATACCGGATATTCTATACGGCTTTGGAAGAAGGAACCAAGGGGCCTATCAGCTGTGAATCGGTCGAAGGGCGCGCTCATCCGCGAGATTGTGGGTCAAGCGAGGTTTCCGTGAAGAGGTGTGGTGGGGAAGACATCTGTCATCTGACGAAGGCGCCTATTGGAGCGGAGATTTCGAACACAATCGCCCCAAACACGATGAAGGAGGGCATGATCACACATATTGCGTCAGACTGTCCTGGGGGTCCCGAATTATGAGTGGCTCTTTTGTCATGAGCCCCCTTCTCCCTCACCTAATGGCTGTAAGGCCGAAGCCTCGTTCAAAGCGTGACATCCTGCCTGCGTTCATCCCATGCTCGAGGTTCCGGAGCCCCGCGCATTCTCGTTCACTCCACGCGCACAGGACCCCGGCTCAGCTTCTCCGTCTTCTCCACCCTCCGAATACTTCTTCGATCGAAGATCCCAACGATACCCGCTATAAGCTGCTATACTTATTGAGGATTGACAGATTATACCATCGGCTTAAGAAAACGTTTTCATCTCATTTGCAGGAATGATGGAAAACATTGGGGAATATGCCGAGGCGGGACCTGGCGCACAATCTCATCTCCAGCACCCTTCGATGTCGTCCGCAATGAATTCCACACTTTCAAGAATCGATCAACTGATGCGTGATCAAGAACGACAGTACATGACGCTTCCACCGTTCCAGAACGCGACAACAGCCAAGGTAAAATGAGCACGATCGGTCCCACGACGCACGATGGAGCTCGCGGTTTGTTTCGGTCCATCTGTCGAACGCGACGAACACGTTCCCAATGTCAGTTTCGCTATACGGGGCCTGATGAAAACTCGGTGAACTTTTGAAAGATATTCGAAGATTGTCCGTGCCAGGGACACTATTATACCTGAAGCGTCGATTCGATGTCGCTGTATGTGAAGACCAAAATGCGTCCGGTATATGCCACGTTGGTCGAAGATCCGGTCCGACTAAGCGCCCACTCAGCCATCCAGCGTTCCTGCGTGCCCCGAATAAATCTTCGAACAAGATACGCTGTCGGGTGCATACTCTCCCAAGGAGTTTTTTTTTCATTCGCCGGAGAAGAGAAAACAAACTCCGACTGGCTCTGGGTAGCCCATAATTTCATCCTTCATTGCGCTCACTTCGAGCAAACAGCGGTCTACCTTCTGACGCTCCGCTCGGCTGTAATGATCCGCTGGAAAAACAGAACGGACTCGGGTCCAGACCGAGTTTTAACCTCGAGTTATTGCTTCTTGTTGGACCAACACCTGATTGTCGTTTCTTCCTCCGTCGAGCTTTGTTCTCCGCCGATCTATCTACAATTGGCCGCTGGGAGAAGGCTCTCCTTGAGAACTTTGAGAAGAACCTTTCGGAGCGGGGGCAACAAGAGCGCGGCGAGTTCCGAGGGGACCCCCGGACTGCGTAGCATGGTAAGGTCGTAAGACTCCGCTCGACGGGCCGAGGACGACGACAACGACGTCGGCGAACAAGCCAACTAAAGTTTTCCGTTTCGCTGATTTCTCTCTCCGTTTTTCTTTCGAATTCCTTTCAGCGGAGTGCTCGGCCTCTGCTTAGCTCTCGGTTCCACCTGATGGGTCGACGTAGGCGGCCGGTGGCAAGCCCCGTCCGGGTTCGCCCCGGATACCAAGGTGAAGTGGGTACACGTAGAACGAGGAGACTCGAGAGGAGCACGGCCGTCACGGGGTCACTGTCGAGTAGAGACGAGTTGAATCCGGTCGGGTCCAGCCGAGTAATTGAACATCGGATGGCGTGTTCCAAGCCACTCGAGTTGACTTCAAGTTCGGCTGAGACAGCCCGGGGTGGAGTGCGTCTGTGACCGCGTCCGCTTCCTGTTCGTGTTTCGTTCTTCCTTCGGCGGCCACCATTGCGGTTGGAAGCAGATTTCCATCCTCGGGCACACGACCATATATAGCTACGTGTAGTTGGTCTTCCTGAGCGCCTCCGTGCCGGCTTGCTTTGTTTCACTAACGCCGTCGTCTCTTATCTTCCCACAGCAACGTGACTATAGCTTCGTAGGAGGAAGTGGCAGCAGCACGTACGATTATGCGGGCTCCACCGAGCCCTTACCAACAAACGCGGCTATCCGCAAGAAACAGGATTCATTCACAGGTAGGTGCAGTCGTGCGAATTTCCCTCAATCCGATCCTCCGCGCGGGGTTGTGATTGCTTGCGTAGACGTCGAATTGTTCCCTCGTGGCGCTGTTCGTTTTTCGGGGGAACGCCAACTCGGAAGCGAGGAGGAATATAGTTGGACGAAAGTCGAGACTGAAAGAAAAAGTTCCTACAACGAGGGAACAAGAAAGGCGTTTTCGTGCCCGACTCGGCCCCGGACGTCAAGGCGGTATGGGAGGCTGCCACTCCAGCGCTGCAATCAAATGGAAATCAAGCAACGAGAACGTCTCAAACAAAAAGATACGCAAGCGCCAAAGCAGCGGCGCGCGAGTTCGCAGCGGGAGGACTAGTAACAGCGGTGAGAGTACGGCACGCGGACTTCGTGCATACAACGAGCTCTCGCGATGGGAAAAATCAGGGAACCGGAGTACGGAACGCGGAAGAACATCTTTACGGTGGCTCCTGAATGTATAAAACATTGCGGAGCGTTCCCTCCGGTCAGTCGAACGCTCTCTCGCCCGTGCTCGCTGGTGCAGCCGCAATTCTATTCGAGTGACTTCTGGAAATGCATATTTTCCTGATAGCGAATCCTTAGCTGAGCTCGTTCCTGTCGTCCCATACGCTCAGTGAGCGTGGTTCCGAGCTCCGAGGAGCTTCACTTCGAGAGTCTTCCGAGGTAACGAGGGACAGCAGGAAAAAATGAGAGAGAATCCTTTCTTTGCAGCGTGTTCGGCACTCTTCACGGTATTCTCGCTGCTCTCGTACGCTGTGGATCTCGCCATGGACGTGCTCATCTGCTACCTGTTCTATGTCAACCACCATCTCGCGTGCGCCGGCATAACGGTCGCATTCACAGGTGAGCTCCTAAATTCGATCGGGGCAGGGAAACCTCATCTTGCTCAAACACGATTCGACTCTTCCGAACAGAAAATCACCGGGATGGAAGGTGAGAGGGTAAGGGCACACATCCTATTCGATACGAGGAGTTCTCATCTCTCGTTCTTTTTCGATTCCAGTGATCCCGTCGTTAATCGTGAACGTGTTCTCAGTACGGTGGTATGTCCAAGACGACAAAGAATCTTCGAAGGCGATGAAGGACTCGAGTCTTGAAGACAATCCAATGTTGCATCGGCCGAAAATGTCGATGTGCGATTGGCTGATACGAATCGTATTTCACCTGGCTTTCCTCGGTCCTGTGATAAGGTAGGTTCGCTGCATTCCAATTTTGCATCCGCCTCCTCGATCCACCCCGTTCCTCGTCACCGTGTTCCAACAACAACAATTCGAGCCCTGTTGTAGCTACCCGCGGTGATTTTGTGAATAATGAAGAAACTTATCAGTCGACAATGGAATCTTGAGTCTCGGCTGTCATGGCGGGATCCCACGGCTTTTCGAGGAAGCTCGTCTCTAGGGACCGGAACGCCCGGAGGGAACCATGGCATGACCCCGCGGATATTCGCGATGGTCGGTTTCACGTCGGTTTCAGCCAGCCACCGGACCGTTCGAGGTTCCCCCGCTGCTCTACCGTCCTCGTGGTCGCCGGACGAAAAGAGGAGCCCAGGCAAGGAAGGCCGCCTGTCAAGTCGCTTCCCGACGGAAGCGAACCCGAATGAACGGAACCCCAACTTGGCCTTTCAGTGCGCCGCCGGTCGTTCTCCGGCGCGTCCGCTTGTCCGGTCGGTCGGTCGGTCGGCTGGCCAGCCAATCAGCGTCGCGGAGAAAAACATCGGCGACAAATTCATCCCTTAAAAAGGAAATTAGCAACCCAATCGAACGGAAACGTTCTCTGGTAATCGCCCCAATTAGATCTCATTTGCTAGTGCTGCTCCGGGTACCGCCGAGTCTGCCGCCGACTCCTGGAATGTCGGATGGGTCTCGTCGTCGGTCCAGCCATGACTGGCTCTCGTCCAGGGTAGAAGTGAAGAGAGCGGAGCATCGACATACAAGGAGCCGATGAGAAGAGCGAATTCCCGAGCCCAAGGTCGGGCAGAGCCATGTCCGACTGTATTCCTTCGGAGATTCGACTGTCACTCTGATCTTGTTGTCTGGATCGGGAGATTGTTGTTCCCGAGTTCGAGAGTTCGGCTTCCGGTCGTCCAAACTCACGAACGGAGATGCTAAGCGGGCGAATGTACACTCCTTGCCGAAACTGCCGAAGGCGACATCCATCCGCTGGCTGTGCCTCGACGCAACGGCACGCACTGTCGTTGGTCTGGCAATTCAGATATGCCCCGTCCGGAACCCAATTGAAACTGCCTATCCTACGGCAAGACGATAAGCAGAATTATGCCGCTATTTGCTCAAACCGCAACCGATAGAGGTTTGCTCCGGCCGCCTGATAGCTATTGCGTAGTCGGTAGTAGCAGCGCCTCCGGTGGCCTCGGCCAAGCCGACGGTGGGAGCAACATCGACGATAGGATGCCGTAAACAGACAGAGCTTGCTCTGCCTTGTGGCGTAGCAAAATAGAGTTATGTTGATGAGAAAGCTATACAAAAAACAGAGCGCTGCGGATAGACCCGAGGGGTTCGGATCGGACCGATAATAATAAGAGGAGAAACATTTATCAGCGAGGAATACGAGAATTCTCGAGCTTCCTTCAGCAACTCAGATCAGTGATCTCAGACCCCGGGTCGAATTTTGCTCCCGATCCATTCCCAAAACTCCAACACATATCACCATTATTCCCGGTTTTAGTCACCTCCCGGTCGCAGAGGTGTGATTCTCTTATAGGAACTTGACATTCCAGGTACCTCGAGCTTCTCCTGTACGGGTTCAAGTCACGGAGACAGGCCAAGCAACGAGGAGACCAATGCCCTTACGTCACTAATCGGATTGAGCAGCCAAAGGAAAGACAGGTTAGTTAAAGGGCAGTGGTAAAACGTCTGGCCGAGACGCGCAAAACCTAGCGGACCCACCTCATACCTACCTCGTTAAGCTTCCTCGGTCTACCGAGCGAACTTCGCAATACCCGGTCGAGAGCACATCGATTGCAACCGAAGAGGAGAGCCCTGGCCACCTCAACTTCCGAGACTGTTCGGTTCGAGATGGGCCGTTGTGAAACTGGAACGAGCCGAGCAAAAGTCTGGGGACTGATTCCTATCGGAATCCCCATTCTTCTCTCCGATTGTAATGGAGGCAGTCTTGGACAATCGTTCTTCATTGCCGTCGGTGGAGCGGTCTTGCAGAACCTCGAGAGCGGGCCGACGGCATAAAAACTTCGGAGGAGATACCACCTGCTAATGATGAAGTCGGCCGCAACACGTTCCCGTTGTACTCCCCGAATCCCAAATTGACATGTCGCGAGTGTAACCCGAAGAGCCGTCCCTGCCGTCTGAGCCAATAAGTCAATTAAAAGAGTGTCGTATTCGCGATTCAACGCGTCGGATCAATCGACTCCAGGACGACGACGACGACATCGGGGAGCGAGGAATTCGACTTCTGCTGCTGCTGCGGAGAAGATTGAGAACGGTGCGCTGAAGAATACGATAGGATCGTATGAGCTGGTCCTTGATTGAATTACGTGCTCTCTTCCGGTTTCCTGCTTGTCATCATCGGCCCGCAATGGATGTGCTCATTTAGGGGAGCGTCCAAAGAGCACGAATCAATGACTGTTTACGCTGCTTGTTTCGTCAGGCAGTCGTTCGTTTTCGCACTTGGATGCTCCCATGCAGTTTCCTTGAGTGAATCATCGCATTAATATCATGCAGTGCCCTTGCTCCGCCGAGCCGTGTTCGTCATGCAGCGATCGGAGGTGGAAGAGCCCGGGAGCTCGCGAGTATCGATCCGAACCGGCATCATCGTTCAACATCAGCGGCCAGCGAAAGCAAGCCAAACAGAGGCTTGAGTAACGCGATTAGTGGTCGGTTTCGGAAGGGGGCATTGCGGGAGAGGGGGGGGGGCAGGGAGCACTTGTTGTCTCCCAGGAGAAACGAATGCACTCGTACTACGCAACGGTATAAACGGCGGCGGTCGACCATGGCGGACGGGTCTTTTCTAAAGGAACCTTTCTGCTGACGTAACCGTTCTCCATTTGGCATCTGCGGAGTCTGCAGCTGTTCGGACTAGCCCATCCACTACACAATTTGTTAAATAAACTCGATTCGGTACGATACGCTACATCTGGGCTCTGAGTTGTGAGCGAGGTGGAATAGTTTGCGGCAGGACGCAGACTTGAGTTCGCGCACGGCAGAATTCGTGGGGGAACATGTTTTCGCTCCGCTTGGAGCAATGCATGTTATGCGACCTGGTTGGCGATGCAAAGTTCCTGGCGGTTCGGGATCGCTCCGTCAATATGCATACATGGACAAACTTCGGTTGAGAGCTTCCCTGCCCGGCCAATTAAAGGCCTTCCCGTCTCTTCGATGTTGCTCCGCAGCTGTCCCTCGGAGACTATTCATTCGGCTATGGGCGCCGGACGAGCGGACGGTTAGCCAGTCGGTCGGTCGGTCCGTCCGTATTTCCGGTTCGCCTCGGGTGGGCTTTGCGAGGCATTGCTTGCCCAAGCAGCGCATATATCCCGCGAAATTAAGTGCATCCCCAGAGTCGACGACTTGACCACTGAGCCATTCAGAGCGGAGCAAACCAAACATCCCGAGCGAGCGAGCAAGCATTTAGCCTCTCGGGATTAAACATGTATGATTTCAGCTCGGCTCCCTAACGTTTCCCGGGAAGAAACAGCTCAGCTTACATATCGCGGCGGGCACACGTACATGAATATGTTCATTCCGCGCTGGCGATTTGGAATTTCTCTGCGTACACATGAATAATATCACCCACACGATTCTATTTCCGGATTCTTCGCGAGAGCATGGTTCGCGAAGTATGCGGATAAAAAACTCTCCTCTCATTCGGATGACTCTCGAGTCGATCCGAGTGAATCCGCGATTGGGATTCTGGTCTGCTGGACTGTCCGTTACCAAGGGTGCTGTGAGGTCATGGGGGATTCATTGCGTCGCTGGCCCGACCGGGCGCCAGAGCCTCAACGCATCGAGGCGTAATCAAAGAAGCTGGGTTCTCCCTCGAGGGAGCCTCAAGCATCGATATGTGACAAGCGCTCCGTCCCTCCTTGATTCGCTCCTTTTTGTGCCTCTCTGAATGTCTTCCGCGACCTACGCCCAGAGTTAGGCAATCGGAGCCAGGTATTCGATTTCCTCTGGTCCCCAGTCGCTCGCCAGAAGATGACGATTGTTTCACGAGGAGCTGGAGCTCCATGTTGAGGATTGCGAGCAGTTTCTGTAACTCAGTGATGGTTCTCATCTGGCCTTGTTTTCTTTTCTGTGATCGTGATCATCGAAGATTGATCTCTTCATTAAATATTTGAATGGATGGAAAATCGTTGATTGTTTAGATTCCGGCTTCGATTGCAGAACGGCGGACAATTGGAGGAGACCTTTTATCATCTTCCTCGAACGCGTACCATGATACGCTAAATATTCCCGATGATAGCGGACCGCAAGGAGTAAGCTCGTCATTCATTATTTCAGGTCGATTATTATCTTCTCATGATTCATGAGGACCGAGACACAGCTCTACTTTCGCTCTTCAAATCAGTTCTACAGTCGGCGCCACAAGCTACCTTGCAGATATTTTTGATCGCCAGCGAATATTCGCATGCGGGTCATATTGAGAACGAGTTTCTCGGTGAGTTTCTTTCCCTGTTAGGAGCAGACGGGTATAGGTCATGCGGTCTGAAGAAATTCCGCCGGACATATACCAGGATGCGGGAATAAACGGCCAGGAATCGGGGAAGACCATCGTGATGAGTGTGGGTCGATCTGGGCCAGATTCAGCGATTTATCATTGAGGAGGTCTGGAGCCCTTGACAGTCTCCCCTCACCTGGGGCGAAACCGCGGTACCAGCTCCGGGAACTCGCGAGGCACTCCCGATGCAACACCTTCTGTTTGAGGCTCAATTCGGCAATTCCCGTCCAGAGTATGGTGGAGGGCTCGCTAGAATGGATATCTCCCACATTCAGTCAGTGTTGCGCGAATGAGAACTGTGAACCTGTCGATATTTCTCTTGCGTTCTCTGGGGCCGAAGATGTCCGGGGCTCCGGAGGGGTCCGCCGGAAAAGACGTCTTCTATCGAGTTCCTCAGAGCATTCGCCGAGCCATTCAGATCCTCCCGAGGAACTCGGAGCGAGGAGGGGTCAAGGAAGTTTGGAGTCCCCGTACTTCACTGGAGCCTGGGGATCTTTCCATATACCTCAAAGAATTCGTTGCCGAATGACTTCTAATTTCCTTTATTGAGATGGGGCTCCCCTTCGGTTTCAATGGTCCGGTAGGGGTCATCAAAGACGCCGGTCCCGCGAATATTTGGATTGGGTACCCCCTGTTCGATCAGGCCTTCGATTTGCTTTTCGGAAGGCTAAACCGAGCATACGGCCGCACGAGCGACATCGAACGATTCTGTCGTTGACCGCGTACGCGGGCCGAAAATAACCGTTTCCAAATTCTAAAAATCTCGACATTTTCAGGCGGTTGCCAACTAGCATCAATTGTGTCGTCTCTGGTGAGCATCGCTCTGTCGTTGTCAAGCTACCACCGAGCGCTGCGGCGCTCCGTTCCCGACAAGTACAATATGAGTCGCACGGGAGCCACTCTGCAGTTCATCTGGAGGTATGTGAGCTCGCTTCCGCCCAAGAAAGATAGACAGTCTGGAAAGACGGCCGGAGGGACAGACGTCCGTCCGTGGGCTGGGTCTTCTAATGGCTTGGCAACTTTAGGAACATTAATGTTCGCTTAAAGTGCTGCAGCTTGGCTGGGCAGCGGGAGTCCTGTTTCTTACTCTGACCGTGAGCTCTCCCACGGCGGACTGAGCCTGACAGATACATGGCTTCGTCCCGTGTGACGGCAGTGACATCGAACGTCCCAACGGCTAGAGAGTGGATAGATTACGTCGCGCATTAGCGTGGGAGCCGATCTTGATCAGTTGTGAATATCATCCGAATACGAACGTGGGAGGGCTCAGGCCGGATAAGGTTTTAGTAGTTCACAATAATTGGGCTCATACAGGCGGGGAGTTACCGATTGGAACGTTTTGTTGAAACACGAGGCCTAAGAGAGGAGCTTCTAACGAGCGTTGGCTCATTCCATTTGCAGACTCTGTACAGTTGGATCGAGAATAATCTGCCTTGCACTCTTCACGTCGGAGTACACGTTCTGGTGAGTGCGGACGCGAGAATCCCGATGATCTTCGAGCTCTCCGAACTTGAATTGAAAATGAGACCACCGCTTGCCGGAGACGCTGAAATGCAGAGCGTTGTAGCTTCTTCGGCGGAGAGTCGCGTGTGAAATTTTCTCTGAGCGGTTGAATTCCCCGCACACCTTCCCGTAACTCGGTCGGCTATTTATTCGCTTGTTACGATTGTGTGGTTGCTCGCCCCGAGGTAATCAGAGGCAATGCAAGTCCCGGAAAACGTGTCGTCGCGATTCCGACCACGTAGTCGGCAAACGTTTCACTCGATCTAGCATGTCGTACATTCGCTGGAATCTTTCCTTGTGTCGCGTTCCTCGCTGATATCATCTGATCTCCACAGGCTCATACCCTTGTGCGTAGGCCATTGGGGCATCATGTCCGTGTGGGTGATGCACCAAGGTACGCGATTCTGCGATACGGAATCGGGACAGCCCCGTCAGTGTGAGGAATACATGTTCGACATGCTCATCGGCGCCATATATCTCGTTTGTTTCCTCAACGTCAAGGACGAACCCACCAGGTGAGATTTCGAGGGGGAGCTCGTCTCCTGAGTAGTATGCAGTACGATTCCACGTCAACGCCCACGAGGGGTATTCGGGATGACTGAGGCGGCGGGAGGGAAAAACACAAGTCTGTGCTTCGTAAACATCCATAAGGGGGGAAGGGGCTCGATGCGGCAGAGACAAGAGCTTGGCTGTCGGATCGCGTCGACGGTCGACTTGGCACTAAAGTTGGCGCCAGTATACAAAACGGACGTCGACGTACGAACCCGTTTTATAGCCATATAAGTCGCTGCTACGTGAGCAGGGTGGCCGAACTCATCTTTGCGAGCGGGACGAACGGATGCCATGCTCCTAGGATCAGCTTGAGCCGAGCGACTCGTGCGGCCAGCCACTGAGTCTTCGCAGTCGACGTCGTCGGTGGGTCTGAAGCGAACTGGTTGTCGGCTAGTGTCCCGAATATCCGTTCGGAGCGAACGAAGGCGGACGCCACCGCTACGCACTCCGACTCGGTGGTCGAACGGGTTCCAGGCTGTTTTATGGTCCCGGACCGGGTCCTGGTGGCGACGCCCCCGCGGAAGCCCTACAGTGGGCAGGTCCAACCGTATTGGGTCGAATCATCGAGTATCGATCCCCCCTATGAAATTTTTGAATTTTCGAGGCCATGAGAAAATTCTCACCCTGATCCAACTTCCGGGGGGAATTCGCGCGGGAATTTCTTATGAGTAGGGCTAGGCGTTTGTGGCGGCCGCCACATCCGCCATGAAATCCGCGATTTTCGGCCGGAATGCCCACCTTCCGCGAATTTCGGAGTTTTTTTCACGGGATAAACATGGTCAGTGTGAATCCTTCCGTGACAGACCCCGCATCCCATTCGATAGATTCCAATGGGACCATCGATGACGAGATTTCCTTATCAGCTGCGGAAGCGCATTCACATGCTGACAAGCGCGCCGCGAAATCAAAACTTGCCCTCACTCGGTGTCCACAGCGATCTCTCCCATCTTTTGCTAGCTATGCTGCGCTCGTT